AGGCTCAAGCAAGACTCACCACTCACCTACCTCTGCCCCCTCCTACTTTGAAATCCTTGATCCCAAATTTGCTTCCTTCATCCCCACCTCTCACAGACTCCTAGGTTCAGCCAACCTCACTGCTTCCAGACCCTGCCTCCCCTGGTCCTGAGAGGTTTTCCCCTTTTGCTTCAGCACAGTTAAACAGTTCTAACTTTTCTTTATAAATCATCCATAACTTCTGTATGTGTGGAAAAGAAGAGAATTTTCCATATCTACTCACTTTGACATCTTGCCTAAAGTCCATCCCAGTGCATGTTTTAATTGCTGTACTCCTATATTAGAGATTCTTACAACAGGCTTACTCTTTTAAGTATTTGGAAATGCAAAAAATATAAAAGCAAAAATAAACATTAATCTGTCACCACTGTTAACATTTTGATACATTTCTTTCCAGTACTTTTTCTGTGCATACATACTATTTCATAAGCTTGTGGGACTAATGTAATACACAGGGTTATAGCTTGCCTTTATCTATTTAGTATATTATAGGCATTTCCATATATATATAATATTTCTAACATGTATATTTAAAACAAAACAAAAGTCACAGATACAATAAAAAGAATGGTGGTTGCCAGAGAGGTGGGCAAAAGGGATGAAGGGGGTTGAGAGGTACAAACTTCCAGTTATAAAATAAATAAGTCATGGGGATGTAACGTATAGCATGGTGACTAGGGTCAATAATATTGAAGTGTATACTTGAAAGTTGTCAAAAGAATAAATCTTAAAAGTTTTCATCACAAGAAAAAAATAATTTTCTGAAACTTTGTAGGGTGATAGATGGTAACTAGCCTATGATAATAATTTTGTAGTGTATACAAATATTGAATTACTCTGTTGTATACCTGAAACTAATATAATGCCATATGTCAATCATACCCCAATAAACATAATAAAATATATGTATACATAAAATATGTAAATACATAAAATATGTAAATAACATTGTTATAGATGTCTATATATCATATATACCATAGAGATCTACCGTAATTTCCCTACTCCCCTATTATGTATATTTTGTTGTTTATAATTTAAACCTACTATACATAATGTTGCATCATAAATATTTCAATATTTCCTTAGGATAGAGTCCTAGAAATAGGATTACTGAGACAAAAGACACGAACATGTAAAAAATATATATACATATTGCCAAAGCGCTTTCCCACCACATGTTCATCCTCTCAGACTCTGAGTGTAATACTATTTTAAACTTGCCAATTTGAAAGATAAAAAAGTCTCACTGTTCTTTTAATTTACATTTCTTTGATACTCATAAGTTTGAACATTTTTCATATGTTAATTAGCCATTTGTCTTTCCTTCCAGTGCATTTTAAATAAGATTGTATTTACTTACAACTTTGCAAAAACAGTTATTTCACAAATCAAATCAAAATACCTGATTTTAGTGTATAAACCAGCCTCAAAAAAGATAATGGAGGACTGGGAGTTTGGGATTAGCAGATGCAAACTATTATATACAGAATGGATAAACAACAAGGTCCTCCTGTATAGCACAGGGAACTATATTCAGTATCCTGTGATAAAGCATAATGGGAAAGAATATGAAAAAGGATGTATATATACATATAAACACACATATATATGTAAAATGAAACCACTTTGCCATACAGCAGAAATTAACACACTGTAGATTATATTTTAATAAAATAAATTTTTTAAAATATATTTTAAAAGAGATAATGGATGTTTCTCTTGCATAAGGTGAAATGCTGTTTTCATTGTATTTCAGGTCCAAATTATAACTAGGCTTAGTCTTCAGGTAATTTACAACCAAGGGTATAGGAGTGGATAGAAAACTTGTATATAAAAACAAATGATCAAATTTTTCATGTTATAGGGAAATATCTATACTTAAATGTCTATATAGATAAACACATATACTAAGTGTGTATTTATATACCGATAATTTGTGTATATAATTCACCACAGGTGGAGACGATTTTTGACCTGAAAACCTTAATATATTTACATAACCTCTGGTCATGTGCAAACTTGGTTTGAAACCCATTAAAAACTTCAGTTGATGTGCCCATTTGAAAATTTTACCAGCCATCATTTGTCTCTTAAGCTACAAATCAGGCCTAACAAGTATCTTATAATGAGCTAAAGGCAAATGCTATGTGGTTGATTTAAAAGAATCACCACTGCACACTCTCATAGAGATAGCAATAGGCGTTAAATAGTGTTTATAGAAACTGAAACGCTAAAGTGTTCAGGGAGGTTAAGGGGGAAATAAGTCTGTTTATAGATTTCAAGCAGCACTGAGGAGATGTGACACTCTTCTGAGGAGAGGAGCAAAAAAGGCCTGATGTTTGGAAAGACAGTAATAGGGGAATGTAAGCTATATGTGGGACCTGAGAGACCCCTGGGTCCATCCTGGCTCTGCCACACACTGGGATGTCCTTGCACATAGAACTAGACCCTCTGCCCTCATGACCTCACAATTTTACTTTTAGGATTTAATAGCAACTTGCCCAATGTCCATCCCACAGAGTATAGGTACGTAACATGCATAGCACTTAGTATTATTACAATGGCAAAGCATGACAACCAGGAGGCTGGACACAGTGACAATCATGGGGGGAAAAGTGGCAGGGACATTGTGGAGCTGATGAGCTGGGTCCAGGGTCACAGGAGGGCAACTGGAGGTGGGGCCAAGGCTGTAATCACAAAAGAGCTTTTGAGTGACCATGAGGCAGTTGAGTCCCTTCAAGGTCTATGGTGCATGACATGATGAAAAGAAATCAAGAGACTCTCCTGTTGCTGTAATGAAAACAGCCTGCTGGGAAGTGTTTTACTGCATAATGAAAAATCACCTGGCACCACGCAGGGGACTGTGACCTCACAGGATAAACAGGACCCGAGTGCCCGACTCCAGGTGGGGAGCCAAACTCAGCCTGCAGCAAACGTCTGCTGAATCAGGCTCACTGTGATAAGACGTGACTTTTACAGTGACTTAGGTTAGAAGTGGGCTGCTAGGTAGAGACGGGACATAATAAAAATGTGCTAGGTGCTCAGACCAAAGCTGTACATTGCTGAATCTGGTCCTTTGCTTATCACAAATAATTAGGCATCACTGCCTCTGTGATGTTGGCTTCTCAGATGACACATTTCTACATTACTGTACCAGTCAACTCTGCAGCATTTCCAAATTTCAAGGCAGTTTGTTTGTCTCATATTTTCTTAGGCAGGCTTATGAGGACTCACACATAAGTCTACTGATTAAGTACCTAGAAGGACATTTTAAGTTAAAACACCTTCAATTATAACGGTTTTTTAATTACAGAAATCCATGATACTCCCCCAGGTAAGCAAAGAAACCCTACTATGTAACCCCCACCCAAGTCTGCTAATCATAATTTACCTACCATTTGCTACATCTAGGGGAAGGTCTTATGTTAACTCAGAGTTAGGGGAAATGCTATACCAGGCTTCATTAGTTTATTATTTGAAATAATGCTTAATGCCCTTCTTTCCTCTTCTATTCTGCTTCTTTCTGCTTTCTGCACACACTCAAATATATAAACATTCACTATGAGTCCATTTCCTAACATACAACTTTTCTTTTCCTCAGTAAAAACCTGGAAAAATTATACCAAAGAGTGAAGACAAAAATTTGATCTTTTCAACCACTATTGTAAATGCATACCTTGATCATTACCAAATTATTTCACTAAAGAATCAACCCAGGGAAACTAGAGTTATTCTTTCCATCTCTTATGAAAAAGCTTACATAATAGTTTTGTAAAGTGTTTTTTCATGTCTTCAATATAAATTACAAATTCCCTCTCAAGATAGTCTTGCATATCTCAGACCTGATTAAGTAGATGAGCAAGAGTAATAATCTTAGATAATAATCAAGATAATCTTAATCATTTGTAGTTTGCATTTTTGTTAGTAAAACTTAGCTTTGGTACTTCTTAAACAAAGAAGAATCATGGAGTCTGGGAAGGAACTAGCAGGAAATGTACAAAAGTTAAATCTTAGCATTTTATTAATACTTGTCTCACCAATAAGGCATTAATAGCAATATCTGCTTCATGTGATTTTGTCAGGACTAACTAATATCACATATATGTTACACTTATTTTATAATGCTATGTTTTATATATATTATATATATATATATATATACACACATACACATACATTAGAGAAAGAGGTTCACTGCATAACAGGCAGTGAGCACATGATTACTATTGTCCCCCTCCCCACTTTTTCATCACTACTTCTTTGAAATAATAACATAGAATTTTTCATCAGAGGGCCATGAAAATTTGCGATCCTATAGGCACCTACTAACACCCAACCCCTATCTCCATTTCAGACTCCTGTCTGAACCTCAGCTCTCCAACCTTGCAAGGACTCAGAGAATTGTAGGCAGGGGTACTTAATAAATATTTGTTGATGATGAACCAATATCTGCCATATCACAGCAGCTCTAATAGATCTGCCTCACTCACAAAAACAAGGGCTGAAGAATGTAGAATAACAGTCCGAGGCTCTGACAGCCCATCTCTGGATTTCAATTGGATCACCCTCCACACAATTTCTTCCATGATTGCGCCTGCACACCCATCTTGCGGTGGTTCTCCGAGCATTCTTTTGGGATCTGCCCCAGTTCCCAATGCACAGTCAGGGTCTGCTTGCTTTCGTGGCCCATTTCGTACCCCCCATTCTAGTTCTAGCTCAGACTTCTTGCAGCATTTGATTCCGGTGTTGCCCTCTATCCTCAAACCCGCAAGCCCAGGTAAAACACCCACCTCCTACTCCCCTCACCCTCCCCCGCTCTCCCACCCCGCCCCTGGGAAGGAAAACCAGATACTCAGACACTTCAGGACTGGTGTGGTTCAGCCAAGTAATACACAGAATAACTTCTAGAAAGATCGAATGCAAGAGTATCCCGGATGTACCAGATCAAGGTTATCCTCTCAGGGGCAAAGGGCTGGGGTCAGCACATGGAAGCCAAAGTCACCAGTGGTTAAGTGAAGAGCTGGCACTCGAGGCCAAGCACCAAAGATGGACCCAAACCGGTAGGTGTCTTTAATCAAAGCTACATAACATGCTTTCAGCCAAAGATGTGGCCCCCAGTCGACCCAAAGGTTTACCTTAGTCACTGAAGACGAGATGATTCCCGGAAGTTCAAGTACCCCTGCAGGTGGCAAGGAAGGAAACAGCACAAGAAGACCACGAGACTGGAGACAGCGTGAGAACATCACGCGAGAAGACCATGCAGAGAAAACCACGCGAGAAGATCGTGCAGCTGGAAACAGAGCAGCTGGTGGTAGTGCGTGAGGCTGACGGCGGGAAACTGGGCCCAGCAGGCCGAGACCTGAGGTGCTTGTGGCGGACGAGAGCCTGGGCGCCGAGTGCCTCGCCGGGTGTTTGTTAACAGGCATAAGGCCATAGTTAGAGAAACAAAGACAGAGCACGGGCAGGTCTCTTCAAAGCCTCCGGCCAACGAAAGGATTGGTTCAGAACTGAAGGCCGCGACGAAGCTATCGCTTCTCCGGTCCACGGGTCGGACGCTGAACAGGCACCAGACAACGTCTCGCGTCCAGGTCAGGCTTCGGCAGGTCGCGTGGCCCTCCCGGAATGGCTCCCACGAACGGGCCCAGCGTCCAGCTGTCGAACGAAGCAAGGTCGGACGAACTTGAGAAACCTAGGAGCCCTGGGATTTCGGGCAGAGCAGGTGAGGAGAGGATGCTGAGGGCGGATAGGGAGAATCCAGGGAGCCCCCATAGCCCCTCTCCCCACCCCCAGGATGTCAGGGCAGTGGTCAGGCAGGTCTGGCTGAACCACAGGACCACGGGGCTGGCCGCTCCAGGCTTTTCCAGATCTGGACTGGCACGGAATACCTCAGTACCGAAACAGACCCAAAACGTGATCAGAGGCGATGGACAAAGTGGGTCAGTCCCCAGCACACCAGGCTTGCTGGAGACCATGAAGCTCACTTAAAAGGATCCATTCTTGTTTTCCCCTCTAAAGCTGTTCACACCCAGCAAGAACGGTGCTAAATAAGTGCTTTCAGGTGCCCTGTTCCTGGAGCAGATCCTAATAGCTGTGTGATTTTGCTGGCCCAGACTTGGTCATTGCGTGCTGGCCCTCTCCACAGGTGGTGCCCAGCTCAGTGCAGGTTTCCTTGGCTCTTTTATTCATTTCTTGACTCAGTAACCATCTGCCACTGGGTTTTTCACCTAGATGGGTGATGGCCACTATTTGTTCAGTTAGCCCATCTCCTGGGCTTTGACAGTACAAAACTTGCATCTAGCCTTTTTAACTAAAGTTAGATTCAGTTTGTGTTTTGGCTCTTAAGATTTTGACAGGTTGGCTGCTCTTGCTTGAACTTCTCTCTCTGCAAATACAAGGTCTATTGGAAATCTGGAGTTGTCACTTTTTTCCCCTGGGCAATCAACTGTACAATCACACAGAATGCTTGCTATTGTCATTACTGTAACTCTGGGGACACAGACACCATATAACTCTGCCGAGTTTAAAAAGGGGGTGGGGGGGTGGGAAACAAACTCATAACTCAAGAAGCTACCAGAGTTTCAAGTGTGGCCTTCAGGAGCCCAGGACTGCTGAGCCACTAACATCCGAAACGCTTGGATCTGAAGAGAGACATAATGTGTATTGGCATTATCAGCAAAGCGCTTGAGCTGACTCTGTTTTCATATTCCTTAACCCAAATTCCTTTGAAAATGAAAGTAAAAATAAAGCAATACTCCTCATCATTTCCTCCAGACCTTGGAGTCTGGATTAAAGAAAATTTGCTGATTTTGCTGACCTTCACAAAGGTGCCACGGGGGTGAGGAGAGGGAATTGTTGCATCGGGGGCTGGTGTGGGTCCTAATAGCTGAGCTTAGCTTGTGCTTTAGATATTTTCTTTCAAACTTGCCTTTTTGCTGTTGCAGCTGGGCTTGTCAGTTTTCAGTACTAATGGGTTGTGATGGGGTGTCAGGGGAAGTCAACAATCAATGCTTCGGGGAAAAAAAAATTGGGGCGGGTGGGAGCATCACTGCTGACATGGCCAGGAACGGAAGTTCAGTGGTCTTCTTTTGTAGAAAAAATAGACAAGAAATCCTGTGCTGTGTTTTGCTTTTAAGATTAGTATAGATTTTTATTCTTTGACTACTGGGCTGCCTGCTCTTCCCCACCTTAAACTTGTCTATCAAAAACATACATTTTGGGTTTTAAATAACCACTTTACAATATAGTTAAAATTGTAATTCATGTTGCGGGTTGTAGTTATTTCTTGCAGGGAGATCAAACAAGATAAGGAAATGTCTACTGAAAAAGAAGCATGAGAAAAATAGTGTGAAATGGCCGGGGCTACCTTGTAAAAGAGGGCTCTTTTAGGAAAAACTCATTTTGGCCCCAATGTTGTGTGACATGAGAATGCCATTACAGTAACACTCAGCATGATGATGCTAATGTAAAAATATCAATGCCTCACTGCAGTTTGCATCCGGGGCTAGATATAGCATTGAAAATGTTTTCTTACTAATAATTCAGTAGAACCCTATTATGACACTGATGTCAGAATGCAAGAAAAATATTTCCTTCATAGGTTGCTTTATTTGAGTCATATATCAGGGAATATGCATGAGAAGTGATTTGATGAACAATCAAGTGTAATATAATCTATGATAGCCAAGAACTTTCTAAACGAGGGTTTACTGTACTTTTTTACATAAATTATATTTATGCTAAAAATCCCAAAGTGCTTATCAAGTGAAAATATTCCAAGTTGATGTTACATAATACATGAATGCCTAAGTTTTGTGTGATTCAGAGTAAAACTCAGCGTCACACCCTGATTTATTTACCTTGTAAATCCAATTCGGCATGTCCCAGGTCTTCTTAAATTTCCTTTAAGTCCCTCTGTATTCATCTTTCTTTTTAGAATTGAAAAATTTAGTTACAGGGGAAAATGTGGAAAGTTTCTGAAGTTGTAGTGAAATGAACCTCTGCTAATCCCATATCCCTGCCCTGTATTGTTTTCTTCCTTCAACATACTTCACAATCTTACCCAGCCCAATTATTATTTTCAACTTAAGCCTTTCTGTATTATCAGGAATTTAAATAAGCATATAGTAGTTTAATAATCAGACAAATAACACACCTAGTTTAATCCTTAAAAAATTATTATCCACCGGGAAGGAGTAGATGTACTTTTTATATTCCTCATATGATTACAACTGAAAAGTCTGAACAGCAATATATATAGTCTAGTAAATATGTAGTTATTATTAATATAGTCATTATATATTGTTTATTCATTTATTATATAAATACTATATATATCATATATTCATTTATTATATAAATATATTTATATATAATTATATCATTTATATTTACTTATACTATATGTAATATTTTTATTTTATTTATATAATAATTATATGTAATATATATAACATAACACATAAAAATTGAATAAACAATATAAATGGCAACCCATTCCAATATTCTTACCTGGGAAATCCCATGACAGAGGAGCCTGGCAGGCTGCAGGCCATAGGGTTGCAAGAATCAGACAAAACTTGGCGACTAAACTACCATCATATATCAAATGTACATATGTAAACCAAACTCAGAGACTCTGAAAAGTGGAGGGAAGGAGACAGACTGACTTAGGACCTTGGACTTGAGAATCCAGACCATGGTGAATTCCCTGGGTTTTATTTTTGTCTCATATATTACAGACTTGAAACTAGAAAAGGTGGCAACCCTGAAATGCCAATAGATGCTAACCAAAAAAGTCCCAACAAAAGCGGGCCCTCTCTAGCCAAAGGACCATGAAGCAGCCAGCTTAACAAGACAGAAAACATTTAAACAATGACCTCTCTATTCCACTCAAACACCATAGATAAAACTGTGGCCCCATTCACACCAGCAAAGGTTGAGTGGGAGCCTAGACCTCCACCTTCAAGAGGCTGTAAGAAGGAATCCAGTGCTCTCATTAGGGAGCAATCAGGGAAGACCAAATGAGGAGTCAGGACATTCATCCCCACCAACTGATAATCAGACTCCCCACCACTTTGCCCATGAAGTGGTGTCGGTAGAAATCACATGGGGAACCAGAACTCCCACTTCTGCCCAACAGTATTGAGGCAATGCACCCAACTTCCCTTGCCACAGCAGTGCAGAAAAAACCAGCAAACACCAAAAGTTTAAATATTTATGTCCAAAATCTCAAAGCATAATAGAAATATGCCCCAGCTTTCAATTGAAAATAACCCTTCATCCCAAAAATCAGGATGATCTCAAATTGAATGAAAAGGACAATCTATAAATGTTAACACCGAGATGACAGATGTGTTGAATTATCTGACAGCGATTTTAAAGCAGCCATGACAAAAGTGCTTCAACAAGCAATTATAGTCATGCTTGAAAAAATAAAAAACCTCAACAGACATAACAAAGGAATACAACTCTACATACACAGATTTAAAAACTTAAACAGACCACTTCTGGAAAAAAAAAAAAAAAGTCACAATTCACCCAAAATTAGTTTTGGCCCAGATGATTTCATTAAAGAATTATGCTAGACATTTGAATAAGAATTAACACCAATTTTACATAATTTCTTCCAGAAAATAGAAGAGGAGGGAACACTTCTCAGTTTATCTTATGAAACTATTGTTACCCTAATACTAAAATGAGAAAAAAAAAAAGCAGTACCACAAAAGAAAGCTGCAGACCAGTAGTATCCTTCATGAAAATAGATCTAAAAATCCTTAATAAAATACTAATAAATAAATCTCTGCAATATATTTTAAAATTGCATATACCATGACCAAGTGGGGTTTATGTTAGGAATGCAAGGCTGGTTCAATATGCAAAAGTCAGTCAATGTAATCCATCATATTAAACTAAAGAAGAAAAGTCACATAATTGTATCAATGCAGAAAAATCTTTTGAACATATTCAACACCCATTGATGATAGAATATCTTAGGGAAAAACATCCTATTCATTCTTCTATGACCAAATAAACTCCTTTACTTACTGGTATAATCTCAGGCAAATATTTACTCTTTCTAATTAACCTCTCATCTGAAAAAAGGGGGAGTGGAAATGATATCTAACTCACTGAGTTGTGTGAATTATTATTATATACACTAATTATACTGACACTAATTATTAGTAATTAGAAGCAAGCTTGTTAAGTAATGTTCAATGAAATGGCTTCTTTCCTGGTTTTGCATACTCTCAGCATCAGAACCAAGGCTTCAAAATTGGATAAGACCCTCTTAGTTCAAGTATCTACCTACTACAGTACCTAAAGTTCAGTTCAGTCGCTCAGTCATCTCTGACTCTTTGTGACCCCAGAGACTACAGTACACCAGGCTTCCCTGTCCATCACCAACTCCCAGAGCTTGTCCAAACTC